GCGTTGGGCAGAGACTCGGGGGAGAGCGATTGATAATACGAGACAGATGAGAATGTTTGTGATCGGACGATTCAAAGTTTCAACCTTTCAAGGTGGTCGCGGGCAGGAAGGGCCCAAGCTCCCGAAGCGAGACGCACATTTCCGATCCTGTTAGATCCTTGCACGACGCTTGCTGGGGTTGACCAGCTCTTTGCGATATTGCAGACTTAAAATGATGGGGATCAAAATGAACATATATTAAATCTGACCGGTTGATAACCAGTATCAGAATCTTTCGCAAAGCCGGAGGAGCCTCCGTTCAAGTATGAGAATAGCTGTTAGAGTTCATCTTAAACAAAACAAGCCCGCTTCCTTCGCGCTTGAGAGCCGATCCGTCCCGCCTCTGCGGCACTTCATTGAGAGTCACCTTGTTTGACACCATGTTCCAAAGTCATCACGGCCCATGCTCATACTCTATCACATCTGATGTGATATAACATGACTGCCCATCCACAGCCGCTTTGGTAGAAAAGGTCTCACTCGCGCCTTTCACGCAACGAAACGAATCAGCAGCGAGGAGGTGAGTCCTTGCATTCTCTTGCATCTGCTCCCTCGTCACGATACGGCTGCAGAATTCTTTGTTATCTCTCCGAGTGGAATGCGGCACGAACAGTCCACTTGTTGAGGTCGTTGCTGCTGAAAGAACTTCAGGAGATGGCGAGACCCAGGCCTGCCCTCGCAGTCCTGATCCTTCACCGGCCGTAGTACACTCGGACTCGAACTCAATGCTATGACCTCCGCGTTACACCACTTGCTCCCTTTTCGGCTTGATCGTCTTCGGCAATCTGGCGTCACTTATTACAGAGACACAATAAGATCTTGGGACTGGGATGATACATGTCGGTATTCATATTTCATATAGTTACCGTTACGCCGTCAATTTATTCCCCACCCCGGCAACGCGTTTGTCCTGAATGGGACCATCTCTGTACTCATTCAGGGTATAGTCCGACGGATATCGCTCCTGATAAGTCAAAAACGGGGCAATGGGTCATAGGGCTTCCTATAGCTAGGTCTCAGCTGCCGAACTTGTCTGTGCTTGGTGTTATTGGCTTTGCAAGGAATGTTGGCATCCGCGAGTGGCTTTCTCATTCTACATCACATCACACTACTTCTATATAATGAAGACCCATGTCCACCATTTCAAACGATGCAGTACATCTCGAATTTATTTCATCCCATCTCATCCGTTTTCCCCTTGTGCTGCTTACCAAGATTCAACAACCCATGCTTGTCTTGACTAGCTGCACACTCGCCTCACTCACCCATAGCCATGCCGCCTTCGAAGCCAAAACCGTCTGAAATTGCTGCTGAGGCTAAGAAGACATATATTCCCTACATTCGTTCAACATTTCAGTCAGAATGGCCGGCTACTTCTTTTCTTTGCTATTCAGAATCTATGGTAGCTCAACCTCCAGCGAAAGTGACTGCACAGCACTGCCGATTCGGTAAAATATCTACACCCCCAAAATATCAATTGTGAACTCTCAACTCACACTGCTCCAGCATTTTATGAACGTGATCCTGTCGATCTAGCTCTGGATTGGATGGTACCAGGAGGAGAACAAATTCCGGTCATTATGCCAGCCAATGACAAGAGACCAGGGGGAGACTGGGAAGCTGGTATGTAACTTAATCGCCAAGAATTAGGTCGCGAGATTTACATTTCATAGGTGTAATGTCACCTGAAGAATGCCTCTGCCGGCGGAGCAATCTCTTCGCCACCTTAACAACTCCAGGGCCAGGAAATTCTTCTGCGTCAAACTACCCGATCCCTCCGAAGACAGGTATCTATTCGGCTAATGTCGGTTCGTATTGGATCCTTGAGATCAAAAGAATTTTATTGATACATTGTAGTCGTATTTCGAGATGGCCCAGAAAAGTATGAGATTTGGCCGGAATACAAGGGTAAGACTTCCTGATGCTGAGCATACGGCTTGTGCTAACGAATCAGCCCTACCGATCATTTCCGTCTGTCCCGTCAAACGACCAAAATTGGATAGCTCGCAACTCAAGTACTCTTTCAAACAGGAGAAAGAGCTGATGAGGGATAAGATTCGTACCGCCTTGCGAATTGCAGTATATTACAAGCACATCAATCTGGTCATCGGGACTTTTGGCTTGGGACCAGGGTTCCGAAACCCCACCGAAGAAGTGGCACTAATGTGGAGGGATGCGTTACTCAAGGATTCCGAGTTCGTGGGTCACTTCCGAGACGTTGTCTTTGCTTTTGACCCACCGGAAGGACCTGGTGCCACGAGCTCGAGCTCATCCAAGAGCTCATCCTCGAAGTCATCGTCAAAATCATCATCGAAGAGCTCATCATCGTCGTCCTCGAAGTCAAGTGTTGCTGCAGACTTGGATATTTTCCGCCACATTTTCAAGCCAGCAATTGTTCATGACGCATTCAAGACGCCAGCCTCTTCCTCGTACTCTACTGGTTCATCATCGACAATGTACTGACGATCTGCCTTTGTGATTTAGACGAAAGCGTGGCGTTTGGTGTCTGGAAGCAGCATTGGGACTTATCTGGATTGGAGCCTGGGAGCTCGGGAAGAGTTTGGCTTGCTGGATACAGGCAAAGGCGCATGGCATGGCAAGGGTGAATGGAAATTTGACACCAAGCCGGGGCGCTGGATCGAGCGTGCGATCGTGCTCTAGGTATCGATTGATGACTTTCCTTCCACAATGACGTATCCGCTACCCATCGGCTGAGCCATGTTTAGAAACAAAACAACATCATATTCACTCTTTCGCACTGCCAGCTACCACATTCCAAAGCCCCCCGTCGTCCCTTTAGGCTTCTTGCATGATGTCTCTCCCTGTTCTCTCTTCCGCGACCACTACTGCTGCATGCAAGCATGGGTTCCCGCACCGGCCCGCCCGATCCAGTCTTTCGAAAGGGCAGGCTTATCTATCATATGGCGGCTTGAGCGAGACAAGGGGATGAGGGTCAGGATTCCACATCCCCGACTCCCCGGCTCTCGTCACAACTTCCCCAACCGTGCCACCCTAGAGCATTGTGTCACCTATGTGGCCGTTGTCCTGTATAGCAAGAAGTATCACAAAGTGAGACAGGCATTGTTGATCGGCAGTCGTTCTGTTGCCCCGGGACTTAGCTGACGCCTCACAACGTTAGAAAGGCAGCCTTGGGTAGCACGAATTCGCAAGGATTCAAAAGGGTCAAGCGAGGATGTAAGCGTTGCATATGGGGTTCCACAACCCATTGACAACAATATGAATGAAAGCGGACATATGCTGACCTCTAACTTAGTTAGATACGACAAGTTTATACATCCGGTTAGCGATAGGTCGGCTTCCGCGTTGGTGACGCCAACTGCATTGTGTGCAAGGGACACCAAAAGGGATACCAAGATGGATTTGCGCTTCCAGGCTCTGGGTGGCGCTCTTCAATAATGTGATTACAGCCTCACCTGAACAGCCATGTTGAAAATTTGAAGCAGCTTTGATGTCAGGAAGAAGTAATTATTCCCACACGATAAGCCCCCACGCCGAGTAAGGCTGAGATTCCATGCAAGACAGTCTCAATGCGGATGATCTTGCGAACACAAAAGGGGGCTTGAGCTGTGACCGCGTGATGGTCTAGATATTTGCGGCTCAATTAACCATCCGCCCCGTTGAGAAGTTGCGCTATGGCCTGCAAATGGTCCAATGAGGCAAGCCATATGCAGAGAGGTCTACGCATTGCAATCATGGTCACCTTGATAAATGTAGGTACTCTTATCTGGCAGTCTCACTCGGACTGTTGATATCAAATAGAGCTCGATCACGATGTGGGCGGCCATGAACACTTCCATTCGCCGACTCACCACTAGGACTTTGCAATCGAGCTGGATTTAAAGGCACGCCCCTTACGTAGTTTGAAATTTGAGACTTCTTGGCTTTTCCTGTAACATGGATCGAGGACGTTACACGCGACATAAAGTCGTCCAATAGCATCCCGACAAATACGTTACTGAGATCATAATTGGAAAGTAAATTCAGAGGGCCAATTTCAGCCAGCAAGGAGTTCCCTTCTCAGAATCAAATTTCCCTGATCGACTGAGCTTCTGCTTCCAAAGAATCTGTCCGCCTTTATTTTCTGGATTGGTTGCGTCAGAAGAAGAGCAGTAAGGAAAGGTCACTGCAACACTTCTCCACTTCAGTCGGAGATTTCAAGGCCGGATGTCCACACTGAATGATTATACCCTTACAATAACTGTCCTTTTCAGACCAAGTCGAAATATTTTGACATAAGACACGTAAGCGTAGGTCCAAGTCGGTTACCAAAACAATCGCCTCCCGGACACAAACCGACATGATGGCCGTAGCACCAATTTACTAGTTCGTCGTAAGCATTTAGAAATCCATATTAATACCACTGTAAGTGTTAATAGTCCTGAAGTGAAAACCCTGCTTCTATTGTTCATTAGACGTGATTGTTTGGTGACTTTCGTCTGATGGCGGGGTCATGGCGGAGTCGACAGTCCAGAGGCTCGTCTCGCTTAACGAATTCTGCAAAAAGTCTTGCTTCGACATTAAGGCAGCGTAAACACAACATACCTGAATGAAATACAGAAAGGCTAATGGTACAGAATAATGGTGTTTTTCACTTGTGTAATCAATAGAGTGTTCATCATGGAGATAACGCCAAGCGATGACCACGAGTCTCAGGAGTAAACGGACGATCAATCTCACCATGTGATAGAGGCTACTGGCAAACAATGACTGCTCAGCTTCGATCAGATACAGAGAGACTTAATGTATATTTACCCTTCAATTCTAGAACTCCAGCTGGGAAGTACTCATACCAAGTGTGGGTCGACTCCATTTCAGCCCCTCCCCGACCCAGTACAGGTCCATAAGCGAGAAAATATCTTTCCAAAAATCCCACAAATCTTTTTCCACTCCATGTAACGAAATAACAACATCCGTGACATCGATTCACGATAAGCCTGGTCGCCCGGGTAGCTCAATCGGTAGAGCGTGTGGCTCTTAAAATCAGAGAAATCTGACTCTTCAAGAGAAATATAAACCTCAAGGTCGTGGGTTCGAGCCCCACCTCGGGCTCAATTCCCGAGGTTCTCTTCATTGAGAGCTTCTTCTTTTTTTTCTTTTTCCTTTGACTTGGTTCGGGATTTCTCTAGTGTAATTTCGGGAAGTAGCTAGCTAAGTGACCTCGAAGTCCTCTTTTACATTCTGCCTATGAATGTTCGAGTTATTTTTCTTTTGCAAACATCTTGATCTATTTGTCTTATTTACTACGTCACGTCTCTCCAAAAGCTCGATTCATCTATCCATTCGGAAAGCAGTATCTTTTTTGAGCCGCGAAATAGATCGGCACCACTCATTTTTCTGGTTTTACATTTACAAGTCTGAAGATATTTAAGCCTCTCATTGTTTCCAAATGTCCATGTCCAAAGTGTGCTAGTGGGAGGGCAAGTCTTTGGAATCATGTCTGAGCCCGATCTGAAGTCCCAAGCTACGCCCAAAACGTCCCGCGAGCTCCCTTGTTGCTGCATATGACAACAGCAGCAATCAGAGTCAGTTGTCAATTGAATACCATACAATTCTTCATGCACAGTGGTTGCTGACTGATCTTGCAGATGGGACTTTGCTGACCATGCTTTGTTTCCCCAAACGCTACTCCCAATATGGCTCGCCAGACCCTCGTCAATGCAGAAGCGAATCGGCATTTACAGACCAGGTTCTGAGCGGCAGCTCAACTGCATCATACTTTCACGAAAACTTCTCGAGGAATCCCGCGATTGAGTAATTTCGGGAATCACAATTTTAGACAAGATGTGCGTCATCATGCACCAGTTCCGAGAGGCCTAGGTGAGAGTATTTGGAAGTTCGGGAATTGGTCACAAGACATTTCATCAAGCAAGTGATCGACAATCAAGGGAATGGATATAAAACGCTGCTTCCTCCTCAGTTGAAGGCGCAAAGGCTTCTTTATCAATTCTCCTCCATCTTACAAGCACGAATTTGAAAGCACCCAAGCTACATCCACCAGAATCCCATTTTCATCACAATCATACTCAATATGAAGGCCATCACCCTTTCCAAGCCCGGCAAACCATCCACCTACATCTACAAAGACGTACCTAAACCCACCCCTCTTGAAGGCCATGTCATCATCGAGATCAAAGCCTTCGGTCTGAACCATGCTGAGCTCTACATGCGGCACGGCGACTGGCCCGAGACTGCCGAAATCAGCGGCATCGAATGCGTCGGCATCGTGGACTCCTGCCCAGACGGCACCTTCAAAACCGGCGCCAGAGTCGCTGCTGTCATGGGAGGCATGGGAAGAAGCATTCCGGGAAGTTATGCAGAATACACGCGCGTTCCGACTGGTAATGTGACATCCATCGAGTCAGATCTGAGCTGGGAAGAATTGGCTGCTCTTCCCGAATCATATTCTACTGCTTGGACATGTCTCTTCCAGAATCTGGAGCTGCAGAAGGGACAGACGCTTTTAGTGAGGGGTGGAACGTCGGCTTTGGGACAAGCCGCCATCAATCTTGCTGTCAATGCTGGAGCGACTGTCATTGCTACGACGAGGAAGGCTGAGAGGTCTGAAATGCTGCTCAAGATGGGCGTACAGCGTGTTGAGCTGGAATCGGCAAAGCTCGCAAAATTGCTCTCTGAAGGCACCATTGTCGATTCGGTTCTCAACCTCGTTGGGAATGGTGTCATGCTTGATTCGTTGGCCATTGTGAGACGTGGTGGTAGAGTGTGTTTGGCTGGGTTTCTTGGAGGACTTGAGCCGATGGCTGATTTCAACCCGTTGTTGCAGATGCCGAGTGGTGTGCATTTCAGCTTTTTTGGGAGCTTTGTTTATGGAACGCCAGCCTTCCCCTTGTCTGATGTACCGCTACAGAACATTGCGAATGATGTAGCTGCTGGCCGTTACGTAGCCAAGCCATCTCGTGTGTTTGCGTTCGAGAATATCGAAGAGGCACACAAACTCATGGAGGAGAATCGTGCAGGTGGGAAGATGGTCGTCAAGATTGGAGACACCAGAGGTGACTACCGGTTCTGAAGAAGTACCAGATCATTGGTGACTTTTCGAACACCGTCCTCTAATGTAACCAATATTCAAAGTTCTCCCAGAGATTTGATGTGACTTCCATGCGAAATTTCTCACATTCCTCCTCAAGGAGTCCTTCTATCCACAGTACCTGCTCTAGAGCTGTCTTTACTTCAGTCCAAAAGCTGTATTGCATTTTAAATACCAGATCCGCCGTTGCCGAAATGTACCATTGGTGATGTTCGCTCAGAAATGACTGTAACCCACCAAGAACTAACAGCCAAATCGAAACCAGGCAATCAAGGTCCTGATCTGGGATTGCCAAGATGACCTTCAATTTTGAGAGGTAAATGTCCACACCTAGGTCGACGCCGAATCTTCGCCGAACAACAGATAGGTATAGAAGAGCACCTAGCCTAAAAGCTTCTTGATTTGCGACTCCAGGATCCTGTTCCGTAATATTGTGTGGGATTGAGAGAAATTTGGCGATGACTGGCACGACCAACAGCCCTGCAAAGACACCATCGTCCCATAGATCTCTGAGCGCCATCTCATTGATTATGAGTTGATTGAGCGTGAACAAGTCGGCGGTTGCCGAGAGAAAATCTGCTGTTCCTGACAGTTTCGTGACTGGCGAAGTCGCAAACGAACTCGGAAGATCAGCGTTAACGGGAGGAAGCATGTCGCTTGGAATGGGAAAGCGCAGAGGTCGATCGAGAAGAAACGCTGCATTGACATCGAGCCTGACGATTACGTTTCAGCATCAGGAGTTCTCAATTCTTTAGCTCCGTTCATGGCTTGTACAACTTACCAGAAAAACATTGTCCTGAGAACCTGATTGTCGCCCAAGCCCGGCAACCCTCCTTTTCGTTTGATGATTTCTTCCAGTCCTTGAAAATGTGTCAAAACACCTTGGCCATCGTTGGACATGACCTGATCATCATCAAAACTTTAACCGTCATACAGGAAGATGAACCAATCCACTTACACAGTGACACGCAAAGGCAAGGACAGAAATAATAATCTCATCTCCAGTACACAACATAGGGTCCGCAATGAGTCTGCTTAATGACCGGATCGCCTTTCCGGAGAGAGATATGACTTCAATATTTTCTTCCTTGTAGTTTCGAAGTCTCGCCATATCAGCAGATGAAGTGTATAGAATTTGTCGAAATGCAGTTTCGTGCTGCACGAGCTGGAAAAATCCTATCTTGTTCAACGTCCTGAACATAGAGCAATCGTTCCCCTGCACTATTTTGGTCGTTAATCTTCTGATAAGAAGCAAGGCAAAAAAGTACTAACGATGATCGAACAGCTCGTGAGTTCGAAGGTTCATGTCGATGGGATAACGTTTGAAGGGATCCGATCGTCCAGCTCCAAGATCACTTGGATGAGGTAGCTGTGGGGCAATTTGTATTAACTGGTCGGCTAGATGTGACCGCTTCTCATGAGCGGCGGAAAGTGAAGATGTGTCTAGGACAATTTCGTCTTTCCTGCTGTGCTCTCCATGCCTCAGATGTCGTTGGCGACCACGTTGGATATGGCTACGAACCTTTCGTTTCGTCTGTGGATCTCGGAACTCTGCCAAGTCTGTGACTGTCAGAAACTGTAAGTCATATTTGGACTCAGAAGTCTCATGTGGGGTGGCGTTGGACATTCTGAAATCTTGCAAGTGAGTTTCGACTATACTGTAGTAGATCCGAATCTCAATGCGTATGTGAGGAGTTGTCAGGAGGATGAGTAAGCCACAGAACAGATGACCTCGCCTATTCAACCACGGATATTCCACGCAGAGCAATAGTCTTACTGGAAGTCGCGGGCCAAAGATGACCGAGCTTAATGATGGAGTCAAGATATGAAGTATTTCCAGCTCAGGAGATTGGCGCTCGCTATGATTGTTGAACCTCTTCCACAACATAAAGTAAATTCCCGCAGCTCAAGCACACTACATTCAAGCTAATCATTCTTATGAAAGACGCTTCAGGACGAACCCATTCTGATACCAAAGAGAAACAAAGCATTGCATAAAGTATGTCGTTAGAGCTCGAATGTCAAAATCCTTTTTGTTTGTTTTCTTTGCGTCATGGCCGGGTAAGCGAGCGCCGTCGATACTCCACAATTTCCTACCTCTCTACCGCAAATTCAGCGTATCTAATCAATACGCTTAGCAAATTATTTGAGTGAAGAGTTGAGTGGTAACAAAAGCCTATAAGGGAGAATGAGAAGCAGATTGATCAAGAGCATCAAGTCAACGCAGCGGAGGATCACATTTGCAATTGAGAAGACAAAGACTACCTGGAGGCGAATTGAAAAATTGTTCTTGGATAAATGGCTGGGTTGAAGCTTTCAAGCTGCTCTGATTATGGCCTTGGCTTGGTCTTTGTGGAGTCCCTCTATTTGCTTGATCGAGCCAAATTAGGTTTCCATCTTCTGAGTATCTAGCCTACTTCTGTAAATCAGTATTGAAAAGGTTGCAAGCTTGCGTCTAGATGGGGATTGACGCCTTTGATTGCCCTTCAACGCCTGATTTACGTGATCTCCGAGTTCTATTCGGTTTTACTTCTTGAAGTAATTCGAGTCTTATACAAATCAAGTGGATTTCGTCAATTATACGCTAGATGGTTTTAGATGCACAGATCATTATACATTCGCTATCCTACAAAGCAGCAACAGGCCAATGCGCCTCCATCTCCTCCTTCTTTCTCTTCCACCTCTCCCTCAGCACATCCGGCCCATTCGCCCAAAACTTATCATGCATACTCGCCACCCCGCCCTCCACATCCCGCTCATTCGGGAACGTCGCGCTCCACTTGTAGTCCAGCGACACCCAGGGCATGCTACCGCCGGCCGACCTGCGATGCGCGTAGTTCAGCATGGCCTGCTCCATGAACTGCGGGTCGAAGGGCCGCATGATGCCCAGTGTCGAGCTCTGCATCACGAACATGTAGTAATTGAATAGTTCGTTCGAGGGCGCTACGATCCAGAAGCCGCCGCTGAGGCTGTCTCGTTCGATGGGCGGGTAGGGATGGTCGTA